ATTAAAACCATCGACTTGTGGTATTTCTGTTACAGCAGCACTAGATGACTAAGACAGAGCTGATGGCATTAGGCATCTCCTGTGTTTGCCAGCACCCATGACACTGTGGCAGGCTGAGTGGTTACTGGTAAACAGGGTGAAGTCTCCTACTCTTCAAGTTCTTGAGGTTACTTCACCTAAGTCTGTTTTCTCAACTGTAAAATGGGAGTGATGAATGGTTGTGGTGATTACAAGACTTGATACATGTGAGGGCTGAGAATAGCTTTTGGCTGTGGTTAAGTGCTCAAACTTATTTTATCTACTCCTGTAAGACAAATATTTCAGACTCAAAAAAGCAAATAAACATCATTAAAGGGGACTTGAAGTTCCACGTAGGTGAGGAGACAGGGTTACTAGGATCTCTGAATGAAGCTTCATAAGTTCTGAAACAACTTTAAGATGTGATGCAGAACCAAAGTCACCGATAACCGGTAACTGAAAAACATTCTGAAGAGAGGGGACAGATACCAAACATATCAAAAATCCCAATTTCAAAAAGATGGATTCCAGACAGTACAGACAGGCCAGTTTGATGTGGATCCCTAGAAAAGATGATCAAACAGATGACTATGCGCCTGTGGAGAAGGCTCTGATCACTGGAAGCCAGTATGAGTTCACCAATAATGCTTTGCGCTATACTATTACTTTTTCTGACCAGATCACTGAATTAATCACCAAAATACTGGGGAAACAGTATAGCCTGATTTTAGCAAGAACAGGCAATGTGGGAAGGAGGGACATGAGGTGAACGAAAATATAATGTATCTACTGATCTGAAAGATTTCTAATGGAGAGCTCACCTCTATCCTGCTTATCTTCTTTAGCCAAGACTTGGGTAAAGACAGAGCCCTGGTGGTACAGTGGTTAAGTGTTAGGCTCCTAACCAAGAGGTCGGCAGTTCAAATCCACTAGCCACTCCTAAGAAGCCCTATGGGCAGTTCTGCTCTGTTCTATATGGTCACTATGAGTCAAAATCGACTTGACGGCAATGGGTTTGGTTTTTGTTTTTTGAGGGGTTAAAGATAGAGAAAACATGCCTGAAGATGACACATGCTGGGGGGAATAGCTGACATGACATTTGAAACACTTCAATACGCAAGAACCATGGGCTGAGCCCAACAGGATATGATGAAATTCTTCACTTGGGCTCTTCACTGGCTGCAGTGGTTTATAGGGGAATAAACCTGGGGGGTTAGTTACCTGCAGCCTCCGCGTGAGCCAAGATGTGCTGGAGCTGCTGAGAGAAGGCAGTTGATGTCACTTCAAGCTGCACTAACGCAGCAACAGTGACTGCATGAACTTCCATTCACCACGTGCCAGGCACTGTCTAACTGCTGTGGTGCATCCTCCCGCTGAACCCTTACATCCCCTCCACGTGGCTATTACTGTCTTGTGTTTACAGATGAGGAAATGGAAGCCCCAAAAGCTAAATCAATAAACTATCCCAAGGTCCTGCGGCAAGCAAACAGGAGTCAACCCAAGTCTGTGCAACCCCTTGGCCGTCAACAGACACCGTAGTCCAATCGCAGGGCCTCGGCACAGGCCATACCACATCTGCAGAGCCACACTGTTCTCAGCATCACTCTCAGCCACGCTGCACAAGAACTGGTGACCAGAACAAGCCAGGCTGGAGAAGGCGGGGAGAGAGGGCTCCTGATGGTGACTTCCCAGACCTCCCCTAGTTGGTCCCTGCATCCCTCTAGGGGTTGGTTTCTTTCCATGGTCCTCCACTCCCTTCTCCCCACATCCAACCCTACTGACTTGGGGCAAGTCTTGGACCCACCCCTCCTCGCACACCTTTAGACTCCTGCACCTGTTGTTTGACCCTCCCCAGTTGGTCCAAGCCCATCTCCCTGTGGCAGGTGGGGTAGGGGGCTGTCAGTTGATGCTTTTTCAATAGACTCACCCCCTAATACAGCTCCTGCTCGAGGACTGTGCCTCTAACTCACTGACCTGTCAGGGAAGATCCGAAACCAACGGAAGTTATTTTAAGGCCCCCTACAAATGTGAAATACACAGTGAAACCTGTGACACCTGGAACTCAACGGTACGGCCTTCTTTTTCCGGGCCTCACAAGTTTTCCAACTTTGACATGGTGCAGTGTTACCTCTTTTCTACCGCTCGTTTTAGTGGAAAATATTTGAGTTTTCCTTCTCTGACAGGTTTCCACCTTACACAGGTTCCAGCTTTTACAGGTTTTACTGTATTATCCAAAATCAATTTAACAAAACAAATGTAAAATATCATCACTAAGAGACACTTCCTTATTGGAACTTGAAGCTTTTGTTTTCCAGAACCTCTAAAAATGTGGGGCACAGGCATTCATACTCCAGGAGAAAAATGAAAACAGTAGCGTGTGTGGAAGGCAGATCACCCCCAGAACAGCAGTGCCCATCTTCCTCTCTAAGACTACTGACAGGGCACCTACTTCTGACATTATTCCATGTCTTCCAAGATGAGGTTCTTTAGCTCTGTTTTTCAAAGGTCCAAATCAACAATGAATTGCAAAAGTTGGGAGCACTTCTGAAAGTGCTCGTCTGAAGAAGGACAGAGAATCTGACCAATCAGTTCAACAGAAAGGATCACCTTGCTGGCTAGTTACTAGAATGACACCATGCCAGGTGAAAGGTGGCATTTGTGGAGCTACGACTGAATTGACAAAAAGCCAAATTCTCCACGCACCAGTTGGCACTCATCTATGAGCCTGGACACAGCTTGGTGGATGGAGAACAAGGCCTTCTCCAGGCCCACCAGCCAGGTGGCGGTGCTGTGGGGCACCTGGCCCCAGAAGATGCCTTTATTTGGGCCCTGTTCTGTGCAACCACAAGAGTTCGGTCTCCTGTAAAGTAAATCACGGGAGGCAAGATTAAACGGGCCCTCGTACCAGTGTTATCGGCACGACACTCTGTTTAAAGTACTGGGCATGTGAGCTGCCAAAGTTCTCAGAAAAGCCATACATGGTCCAGTTCTCCTCACCCATTGTCATTATAACTGATGGCTTAGTGGGCAGGAAACAACAAGCTCAGAAATAAGCAGAAAGCAGGAGTTGGTGATGTTAGGAGGGATGTAAAGACTGATAATTTTATACTCTGCAAGTAGCGCTGAACCCAAAATCTAATTTTAGCCATTAGTCTTACGGTTAATAGTTGGGAATGACCTTCAGAAGGACAGTGAGCAAGGCAGGGTGGGAAGTGGGAGGTGGAAATTAACCATAACCAGCTGTGGCTGTCATGGGGCTCCTTCTTGAGCTTTCATTTTCTTTTAACCTTGCCCTGTGGTTAGATCTGTCCCGGCAACCTCTCGAGCCAGTCTGCAGTATATACACTGTTTTCTTCTCTGTTCCTAGGACTGAAAATGACCTTCAGGATGATGGGAAAGCTTCCTTCAATCCAGCACTACAAAAGTAGTAAGCATTTTCTGACACTTAACCAAGTTCCTTGCCTACTATGAGGGAAGGATGATTTTTAAATTAACTAGTTAATTAATTAATTAAAAGAAAAGCTCTCCCCTCACATAAGCAGGCTCAGTGCTTCTGCTTAAATACCTCTGGCGACCAAACTATCCCAACACTGCCATACATTTTTGAATAGCGTTGTTAGAAGGCTTTACCTTATATCAAGCCTTCATCTACGTTATTTCCACTTATACCCAATGTTCCTATTTTGGTCCCTGACCCAGTGTCACTTCTGTGCCTTTCAAATATTCTAAAAGAGGTTTGTTTGTCTGTCTTCCAGTGTAAATAGCCGCAGCTCCTTCAGCTCTCCTTCCTCTATGGTTTCCAGACCCTTCAACAACCTGACCACAGGACTCTGCTCACGCTCCAATTTGTCCATGTCCTTTTAAAGTGGGATCCAGGCACTAGGCTGTGGGTGATGAGGGTGTTATCATTTTATCGCTGCCCACATGTCAGGCTCTCCCTCTGTGGGTCCTCATTACCCATTACCACAAGGACAGGCTACAGCTGCTATCAAACATTAACTAGTGGTGATAAAATGCGGTGGCAGGGAATGTATGAAATTCTGTTCAGGAAGCCCACAACCCCATAGCTGAGGTTACAAAATGCAGATTCAAACAATGCTTAAGTAAATGTGAATTCACTCTGTAAACTATCACATAGATAGCTCAAAGAGAACAGCTTCTTGGCCCCCACTGCCCATAGCGCAGGGAGAGCTGACCAGAGATTCGCATTCTGGGGTGTAATGATTTCACATCTAGAAGTTCAACTATCATCAGTTACACTGGTCCATCTGTACTGATTCAGAATAAAGCAATCCAGCAAACCCCTTTCCAGCTCCATACTCCAAGTATTTGGATGCACACTGGAGATATGATCTGAGCGTTTTTTTTTTTTTTTTACATTTTCTAACCATGTTTTCCTTTGAAGTCGACAACTGGGTCAGACTAGAGGGGCTCAGAAGTTATTGTAAAGGTCACAGATGAACAGAGGTTTAGCATTACAAAAATACCAAGAAAGGATTTCTCTTCTGTAGTTAGGCAATAAATAAGTCAAGGGGGAAGACTCTACTTACGTAAGCATTATATAATAACATTACATAATGCCAAAAATTGCCACTACAGATGTGCTGCTGTTACTGTTGTGAGCTGCCATGGCGCCAGCCCTGACTCATGGCAACCCCTTGTGTTACAGGGCAGAACTGCTTCATAGGGTTTTCTTAGCTGTAATCTTTACGGAAGCAATCTGCCAGGCTTTTCTTCCACGGAGACTCTGGGTGGGTTTGAACTGCCAATCTTTAGGTTAGCATCTGATCGAAAACCACTTGCGCCACCCAAGCTCCTTAGATATGTCACCAGTAAATTAAAATTTAACTGAGAGACTGCTTTGGCAGGATTTGGTTCTTTCTTTACATAACTGGGGGGGGGGGGATACTGGCTTGTATATATGGTCAACCACAAAACTCCTAGATAAAGGGAATTTATACAGGTTTAACCTTTCTCCCACTTCCCAAAGGTGGATAAACCAGATGTACCAGTCACACTTCGTCTTGATCATCTGGCATTCCAAAACTGGGTTTCTTTCCCATCTACTCTCCAATTTCCTGCCATCTCATTTCCAAGTAAAATGTTATCAACTGTAAATTATGATAGGTCAGCTCTCACCGTGGAATCAGACCTGTGCAGGTTGCTCAGGGAGGGCCTTCTGCAAGAGGGTTATTTGAAAAGAAGTGTAGATATATACTGAGAGTGGTCAAACATGTATTCTATAGACAACATCATTAAGCAGAAACACAGCAGGATTTGTTAAATAATAAGGTGGTTTGTTGAGGTTTGGGATTTTATTACTATTTCTTTTTAGAAAAAAGAAAACTTACAAGATGCAGAGGTCTCACACAATACATTACGATTGATGATTATTTCCTTTACACCTTCACACTGGCCCTGGCTTATGAATCAGTGCTACAAAGAACGTGGACAGCATGAGCGTGTCTGACACCATCACAGACACATGGAAATATACCACAGTGAGAAAGGAAGATTCAGTGACAAATGATGTTGTACCAGCCTGCTCCAAAGTCAAGCCAAGGCATTGTAGGAACCAACGAAGCCTTTCTGTGGGGGAGGCGTGCGTGTGCCCTGCTGCCAGGTGCATTTCTGAAGCTGGGAGAAATGCAACAGGTGCCCTCCTCCAGATCGGCAGGACCCGCTGCCTCTACTGGACCATGGCAACAACAGAAAATGCTAACGTTCCTTTGGTTGCTTTTTTGCAGGGTTAGTCAGTTTCCCAATTTCTTATTTCTGTTTTCCTCTTCATGTTTCACTTCCAAATCCTTAAAGCAGTGTAGGTGCTGAACATCTTTTAAGAATTTTTCAGGATCCATTTCTGCCCAATGATAATGCACTAAAAAGAATAAAGATAAGACATATTACTCAGAAAGGTCCCAATATTTGTGTCTTTACATCCTATTAAGAAAAAAATAGCAAACCAAGCATAGCAAAATAGCTGAAGATATCCTTTCAAGTTCATACAATGACAGTAACATGACAATGTTTCCCTTGACTGAGAAAAATCTGCATGTTATCATGTGTAACTCCAAGTATCTTCTCATCAAAGAGTCCCCAGTTTATCAGGACTCCATTCTTAGAGTCAAAAAGACACCAAATTAATTATCTGGAAATTAAGCAACACACTTACATGTACTTTCTTTGAGGGCTCATGCATCAAAGTCACGAGGCAAATCAGAAAATACTTTGAAGTGAATTAAAATACAACAAATCAAAATTTTTGATACTCAGTTAAGGCAGTGCTTACAAGAAAAATAATAGCATTAAATTTTGTATTAAAAAGGAAGCTGTCAAATCAATAATCTGAGTTTCCACCTTAGGAAACTAAAATAATAAGAGCAAATTAAGCCCAAAGCAAGCAGAAGGAAGAAAATAATAACGATGAAGAACAGAAACCAATGAAATTTAAAACAGGAAAAAAAAAAGAAAAGAAATGAAAAGCTCAATAAAATTGATAAATCTCTAGCCAGAGTGACCAAGAAAAAAAAACAGAAGGTACAAATTACAACACCAAGAATGAAAAAGGCAACATCACAACAGATCTTACAGACATTAAAAGAATTATAAGGATGTATCAGAAACAACTTTTTGCCCACAAATCTGACAATTTAGGTGAAATGGAAAATTCCCTCACAAAAGATATGAAAGTCTCATTTCCAAATTCTTTTGAAAATGAGTGAGACAGAGGGGTAGGGACCCCAAAGAAAGCAGAGGGGCAAAGAATAAACCAAATGCTTATTCTTGGGATATTAATATATTGAGATTTTAAAATGGTTGGTTCTTGGACATAAAATGAACAGAGGTCATAAAATGTCCAAGTGTCTCAGGTTTCCCTTTGTAATTCTAAGGCTACAACACAAACCAGCTGATCTTGCCAAAACTCTTTAGGTAGCAGGAATCTGTTACCTAAGAGTTTAACTAAATCTCAAAGCTTAACAGAATAGTTTTTATTCCCTTAGATCTAAATTCTAATCAGATGGACTTCAGTAAAAGCAAAAAGATTCTGCTAGCAGAAGGTATGTCCATGGTGATATCATTTCTGTAAACATACTTCCTAAGATTACGAGGAGGTACCTAGATGGAATTAATAGCCTCCCATTCCTAGGCCCCAGCTTGATATCAAGGCCTCTGGGCCATCACAAGTAAGGCTATTTGGAAGTTCAGTGAGCCATGAAAAGTTCCACCCAGAACCATACAAGGTTTGGAAACTCCCCTGAGGCCTACCCTTCCAAGGAGGCCCATGCTTCAAAACCTACCTGTTACAGTCCTGCACTACTTCCTAAGAGATATCTAAAAGACCACCAGGGACCATTAGTGATGGGAAATACATAAAGAAATTCCTAGAGACCATATATTACTTCCATTTTTAAGTTAAAAAAAAAAAAAAAAAAAAAGCAACCCATTTGCACCCATATTTTAGTCAAGAAGTTAACCCAAACTTAAGAACCTGGGCCTATTAATACTCCTTCTCCACTTGCTCTACCAAGAAGCGGAATCCTAAAATTAGTTCCCACGTTGACCTTTAGAGAACCACATCATCTTGGCACAGATAAAACCTTTGTTTTTGAACTTAAAATGAGGTTTGGGATACTGGCTGAATACATTGTTCTTTTCCACTTCTATTAAATATTTTACATGTTATAATGCTTTGGGATAATAAATTTATGCTTCAAATGTTTGATGTGCTGATGGAAATTATAAAGTTTATTATGGAAGAATAAATGACTTAGAAAATGTTCATGATATTCTGTTAAATGATAAAAACAGGTTACACAGTATATACAGAGGCCCCCAACTTTGTAAAATTAGAGAGAGATGGAGTTATCTGCATAGAAAAAATATTATAAAAGCATTATGTTAATAACGGTTGTCTTAGATTTGGGAAACGGCAGATGCTTTTTATTTTCTTCTTTGAGCATTCTGGAATTTTTTAAATTTTCTATAATGAATGAGCATTAATTTTGTAATAAAATGGCTTTGAAAAGAAATTTTACAAGAGAACAATAATTTAGGAATTCCTATTCACTACTAGAGTATCACAGAACTGGAAAAGATCCTGAGAAGTTTCAGCCCAGGGGTTCTAAAAGTTTTCAGATAAACCACTCAGGCATAGGGACGTTAGAAAGCACCTAACCTAAAGGGTTTACAACTAAGTATGCCTCCAGAGGAAACCCTGGTGGTGTAGAAGTTAAGTGCTACGGCTGCTAACCAAAAGATCAGCAGTTCAAATCCACCAGGCACTCCTTGGAAACTCTATGGGGCTTTTCTACTCTGTCCTATAGGGTCACTATGAGTTGGAATCAACTTGATGGCAATGGGTTAACGGGTTTAATGCCTCCAAAATTAACTGTGCTACTACTGAGAGTCCTAATGGGAGATCAGAAGTGCACTATTTTTCTACACTAAAAATGGGCAACTTGAGTATTGTGAGCGATTAGCTCCCAAACTGCTTGCAAGATCACTGTTCTAGCTGAAGGCTATGCCCCACCATGATATGCAGATTGGTCAGTCGATGCTGCTCTCTATTTCCAATCTCATTTTCTAAAAATATTTCTTCTCATTTCTTGAACATAACCATAGAAAAACCTAGGGACGAGGTTGCTGCCTAGTATCTGGAAGTAGCTGGAGACTGGGAAGCTCACAAAGCTGGAAGAATGAATGAGGTAAGTGGGAGGAAGCCATCATCAAGGTCCACCTGCCAGATGAGAAGAGCTGACCAGAAGTCATGTTCAAGCTGATGAACACACAATGCTCTAGAAAAGAGGGGTCCACTGAGGCTTGAGATTTAGAAACCATGGATGAGGGTAATGTGCCTTCCTCTAAGAGGTGCTGAGTGAATGATGTCTATCTCAAAATGCATTCCTGTGATGTTTCTGTAGGCCAGGTGAATCATCTGAGGGCAGACACGACCTGCAGGCTGGGACACCTGGCAAGCAGTGGGAAGAAGTGCCTGATCAATTAGCTCACAATTTCACGGCCTTATAAAGGAAGTACAGGGACCAGAGGCTTCCTCCAGCTGCTGGGGTGGTTCTCTTGTACTGCCTTCAAACACTGGGGACAGTGGAGAACTCCGTCAGTGAGGCAGCCCAGAACCAGAAGTCAGGAATCCCTCAACAGCTTGTTTATTAAAAACAGTCTGTCAGAGATGCTGTCTTCTAGATGATCGGCTTCTGGCTTCATGGTGATCAAGAACCACAAGACATAAGTGCTGACTGAGGACACACACTCTAGGGAACCTCTCTCCAGATCACTGTCAAGAGAACCGAGCTTTCACTTACGTATTTATTTTAGGTCACAGCTGGGAATCTAATCTAAATTCATTCACCTAGAAAAGCAAGGCGATTCTATGCATTAACGTGAGTGTTGCTAGGAAGTCAGTGTTATCAGTGAAGGGTTCATTCTGACCATCTAGCATTCCTATAGGGACCAGTGAGCCCTCCATCTAACTGTCAAAGTATTGACAGTTTTAACTTGACTGATGAGAATATAGGAGGAGTGATTAGATTTCCTAATTAAGAAAAGACATCTTGATGTAATGCAAGAAAACAAGCAGGAAAAAAAATGTTATCTGAAAGTAGAAGGAAGAAACTCTTAGGGCAAAAATTAGGAGAACTGGATTTTACTTTTTGTCATACATCTCCCCCCATCTACCTCTCATATATGTCAATATATATTTAACCATGTCAGTCTTAGAGTTTATAGTGGTTCAGATGATGGTCTCAAAATCAGGAGACGGAGGGGAATAGATTCCTCCAAAAAACCCATCTTCCCCACTGGAGATCGGCTGAAGTCTTTTATAGGGACAGGATTATGGATCTTTCGTGGTAGTTTCTCCTTGAGGTAATGATGTCTTAGATGAGTTAACCTTCTACTGGTATTCTTAGCAGTTCTCTGGCGGCATCTTTGGGGATTATCTGGCTACATCTTGTCACAAGATGGATGCTTTGTTTGGTTGTTCATTCTTAGATCATTATCACTTGTTTTCTACCCTCCAGGGAGGAACATCGGTTAATCTTAAACCTTTTTGTAGAGACTGGAGAAAAAAAGATCATGACACAATGTGGCAGTTAGCAATGGGGAAGTAAACAATAGTGAGCTGGGCCTTGCAGCCTCTTCCATAATGACTACTTGAAATGTAGCCACTGCAACTGAGGAACTGAATTTTTCATTTTATTTAATTTTGTTGTCGCTTTTAGGTGCCGCCAGTTCCGACTCATAGCAACCCTATTTACAACAGAACAAAACACTGCCTGGTCCTGCGCTATCCTCATAATCGTTGATATGCTTGAGCCCATTGTTGCAGCCACTGTGTCAATCCATCTTGTTGAGGGTCTTCCTCTTTTTCGCTGACTCTCTGCTTTACCAAGCATGATGGCCTTCTCCAGCGACTGATCCCTCCTGATAACCTGTCCAAAGTACCTGAGACATAGTCTCACCATCTTTGCTTCTAAGGAGCATTCTGGATATACTTCTTCCAAGACAGATTTGTTCATTCTTCTGGCAGTCCATGGTATATTCAATATTCTTCACCAACACCATAATTCAAAGGTATTGATTCTTCTTCGGTCTTCCTTATTCATTGTCCAGCTTTCACATGCATATGACGTGATTGAAAACACCATGGCTGGAGTCTGGTGCACCTTAGTCCTTCAAGTGACATCTTTGCTTTGTGACACTTTAAAGAGGTGTTTAGTTTTAATTTAGAGAATTTAATTAATTTAAATATCCTCATGCAGCTAAAGGCTACTGTAATTGACAGTGTACTCTAAGTTATCTGTAGGCTTATCTGGGAATGAGAGGATCCTCCCTTCTACAGGGAAGAACTGTGATTGAATA